AGAACCTTGCTGCTAACAGGACCACGCTGCTAACAGGACCACGCTGCCAACAGGACCACGCTGCTAACAGGACCATGCTACTAACAGTAACTGTGTTTTTATAAGACTTGTTTATTTTAATTGCTTCTTGTTGTTTGTGCTCTGCATGTTCTCCGTATAAAACAGGTCTCTCTTGTAAAAGAGTTCTTGTGACTCAGTGAGGCTGACCTGTAGAAATAATGGTTAACTATATATTTTAAAAGTCCTGAAGCTCGTTGCATTCGGCTCCAACCACAAAACTAAAGCAGCCCACAACAGAGGGAGAAAACCGACTTGTCCAGATATTGTAAAACGAGTGCAGAGAATAAAACCGCTGTGGAGCATCAGCTGAAGCTCGTGCACGATGACTGCGTGCGTAAGGAGCGTCTTGGCTTCGAGTCGCGCTCCCTTAGGAAATGCTGACGGGTCTGCAGGAACGCAGCGACTGGATGAGCAGATGGTGTGAACGACAGCCCCCCTCCCCCCGTCAGCTTCAGGGGCACCAGCACACAAAAACACAAACCTGAGACAATGCCCAGAAATCCTGCGCACGTGCGCAGAGTCACCAGAAGTCATGTGGACGTTTGTAGAATTCTAACGTCTGCTTCTCCAAACAGGTCAAATTAACTGGATGAAGAGTCGGGCAACGTGTTTCGAAAGCGAAAACAGAAGAGCTGCGTGTGAAAAGCCAAGTCCAGCCCCTGATCCATGGTTGTGGAGGAATTGCGGCCCACTCTGCTCTACAATGTTGCTTCAGGTCATTGTGGATTAGCTCTGTTTAGGTCCCATTGCGGCGTTTTGTTGAGGTCGAGGTCTGGACTGTTGCAACGCCTCGACTCTTTTCTTGTTGTACATCAGCTGCAGTGACTGGAATCGTTGTTCTGTTGCATCAAGACCCAGTTGGGTCCGAGCGCCAGCTGCTGGACAGGTGGCCTCACAGTTGACTTTAGAATATACAGAGAAAATCATGGTTGACTCAAAGACTGCAAGGTGCCCAAACCATCAGCCTCCACCTGACAGCTGCTAACAGGAGTTTGTGCTCATGTCTTTGGTTTTTACCAAATCTGCTGCTGTGCATTATGGGTAAAGATATCTACTTTGGTTTCATCTGTCCTAAGGGGTTTGCTCCAGAAGTCTTGTGGTTCAACCCTTACAAATAAGACATTTGTTCGAGCTTCTTCTGTCTGGTGAGTAACTTTAAGCGGAGTTACGTTTTTTAGGAAAATTTCCGTTCATTGCACGGTCTTGATCTTGGGCTGAATTTTCTCAGACCAGTGTTGCTGGGAAGATCCAAAGTCTGTGTATTCACAGGGGTAGCTCTGAAAAAGGCAGGGGCAGGTCATGAGATGGGGGTTGTGTTCGGAGTTCACCTTGATTTTACTCTCGCAGTGAGGAAAACCGTCCAACGATGGCAGCTCGCACTTCTCCTGGGCTCCGTTTAGAAGATCTGGAAGAACAGACAGAGAAACGGGAGGAGAAAATCAATAAGGTCAAATCGGTCAGGAGCGAACTTTTTATCCCTGCCTCTAACTTTTATTTCATCCCAATGGAGACCACATAGATAGAAACTTTTCAGAGGCCTGCAGAGAGGGAGAAGATATTTGAAAGAAGAGCCAGCTCGGGTAAAGTTTCTAGTGTAGATATTGGTGAAAACTGCCCGTGCAACAGAAAGACAACTATGTGGACCGCTCAGATGCCAAGAGTTTAAGAGAAGCGTGCCTGTTGATAAACACGAGCACCACATACGCCACATTACACTACAAGGAAACATGTGTTGTTAATTCATCCCGGATCAGAAGATGTGGCCTGGAAGAGCAAAGACCTTCTTTGACATTTGACTTTGTGACCTTGACCTTGTAGCAAGGCGATGAGACCCATCGTCTAGCGGTGTAACATATGTGCATGAAGGTTCACTGATCGGGTCGGACGTTGTTGTAAAGCCCTTGTTTTAACGTTGACCTTGATTTGTGACCTTGAAACTGGGGTGATTATTAAAAGTGACACTCTTGTCTAGTGATGATGCTTAAATGTACCAAGTTTCATTAAATTATCTTGTCTGGACCATATTCTCTCATCCAAGCAAAGACCTTGTACTGTATAAGCAGAGTTTCCCCTGCATCACTTGCCTTGGCAGGGCGCTCATCTCTTTTCAAGCGGGGGAAGTGGCGTACAGCTCAGTGTGAGGGAACACAGTGCTACCTCTGTAGCATTTTAGCTAGCACATCTGTCTTTTGCGCCGCTAGCGTGGCGCAACATCAGCGCCAGCAGTTGCTGGGTAGGCAAGGCACTCCGTTCTGTTGACAGTGCGGGGCGCCCTGCTTGTATAACGGTTAGGGAAACCCTGGTAACATTTGACCTTGATTTGTGACCTTGACATGGAGCTGGAGTGATGAGTTATGGCCTGGACAAGAGAAGGTTTATGGACAGATGGACAAAGATTATACCTTAACAGTGCCTCCCCTGCGCTCATGGCTTTGGGGGTGGGAGGGGGTGCTAGAGTGTAGACAAACACACGCATGTGATGCACGCTAGATTAGAGGTACGTTAGTGCTGGCAGTCGTAGGGGATGGAGTGCGTGAGAGAAGCGTTGTCCTACGTCTGTAGCTTCTTAGCTAGTGCATCTGTACTGCGTGCCACTAGCTTAGCACTACGTCAGTGTCAGCAGTTGTTGACGGGAGCAGCTGTGGGTTAAGAACACTTCGGTAGGCAGGGCACTCGGTTCTGTTGACAAGGTGGAGACCCTCCTTGGATAATGGTAGGGGAAATACTGCTTAATGTGTCCACCTTCGACGGGCATATGAAAAAGGAAGCAAGTTCTGAACAGAACCTCAGAGGTATAAATATACAAAGCACTGAAGAACTGAAACTCGGTTGATGCGATCAAAAGCTGCTTTAAGATCAAGAAGAAGAAACTTTAGTTTGTAGTCTGTCACAACGTTCATTTCTAATCCATTTAATCAACGGAAAAAAGGAACATGCTAAAACAGCGTTTAGCAATCAGCCCCAAATGAAAAGTTTCATTGCAAGTTTGATCGAAGCTGAATGGAGTTAAAATCAATAGCTATCAGACGGGTTTCATGTGAAAAATTGCCATCGGAACGTAATTTTCCTAATGTTTAAAAGACTTCTGAGAGGGAAAGGAGGTGACGGTCATCGCCTTTGAGCTCGGAGATGGCCGTCAACCAGCAGAGATTACCTTTGGCCCAACTTCATAACTGTGAAAGCCACAAAAACCACAAAAAACCGAGAGCACGGCCAGTTAAATCTAAACAAAGCAGAGGCATAAAACAGTCATTTCTGATCCCTGTACTTGAAACAAAACAAAGGAATTCTGGGTAAACCATACAGGACTTTGACTGGCAGAGAAGTAACACGTGAACTGCGGTAAGGACGGACAGTGGGCTGCTGTAATGAGTTTCTGTAGAAGGTTTATGGGTTTGTGAAGGAGTTTGTAATGAGCAGCTCCAGCTGTAACCCAGGCTTCTGCGAGTGTGTCGAGGTGGGGGATGGGTGTTCGTTTTCACTACGCATTCTTTTCAATGGGGCTGAAACGCTGCAGCGATAAACATTTTCAGCTTGTAAACCTTTTCTTCTCGGCTCTCTCAATAGATCCAAGGTAATTAGGGTTCACCAACACCCCCTGGCTCTGAGACTTTATGGTTTATATCGGGGAGGAATAATACATTTTAAGAAAAATGTCAGAGTAGCACAGTTAAAGGTATGGAGGAGAAACAAGTCCCACATATGGCACTATACGCACATCAACAAATTATTATACACCCATCTACAGCAATGAATCCAACAAGCAAAGACCTGGTTTGAACTGAAGCTGGGCTGATGAAAAGTGCAACACTCCGTCTAGTGATGATGCATACGTGTATGAAGTTTCATTAAATTCTCTTGAGTGGATCAGAAGGTATGGGTGGGACAAGAGAGAATTTATAGACAAAAGAAAGTACAGAGTACAAAATACATTCACCAATCAAGGGGCAAATAAACAATCTAGACAAAAAACTAAACAAAAATACAATACCAGCGTGTAACAAAAGACTCTGCAAAACTGCTGGCACAATACAGAACCTCAATGACCTACACAAGGTGAGCTCAGTGAACAAGGCCAGGCTGATTCTGGCAGATCCTGATCACCATTCCATGGGGAGTCGAGGTGTCTTCCACCTGGACGCAGGTATCTGCTGCCCAGACGTAGAACGAACAGACTGAAAAACTCATTCATCCCTGCAGAGATCAGACTTTTCAACGGACAGTGACGACTTCTGTACTGTTACTGTAATGTCTTGTCTGGTATGGATTTTTTATGTGCCTACTGACTGTAAAACAAAGTGCCCCTTGGGGATAATAAAGATCCTTGAACTTGAACCAACATCATGGCAAAATGAAGGAACGTCCTGGAATGTTTGACCAAGTTTCTCCGGGTTTGTTATGATCGGCACAACGTTTGTCCACTTATTGAACTCTCAAAGACGACAAAACAAACGGTCCAATACCGACTGCAGTGCTTCCCCTACGTTACCTGCCTTGGCAAGGCGCTCATATCGCTTCTGTGATTTTTCTTGACGGGGATGGGTGAAAGGGACCGAGGCACATCTGTGTTGAGCGCTGGGTTGGTGGTGTTGAAGGAAACGGGTGCTACCTCTGGAGCTTTTTAGCCATTTCACCTGTACTGCGCGGTGCCGCTAGCTTAGTGCTACGTCAGTGCCGGCAGTTGTCGACGGGGGTGGGGGAGCAGTTCAGTAGGCAAGTCGGTTCAGCTGACAGGGTGGGGTGCCCTCCTTGTATTATGGTAGGGGTAACGGTTAGATTTATGATTTGGTACCGTTAAAGAAAATTATTCAAAATCCCTCAAACCAAGAGTCCACCACAACTGAAAACTGAAACATCCAGGTTATAAATGTTTTGCTCTCGAACATGAGCGTTGCTGCATCCAGTAAAACTAAATAGTTTGTTACAAAGTGAAACTGGTGTTTGGGAAACAAAACAGAGCAGCAAGGACGAAGAAGCTGTCCCACCTAATTTGGATATCATCAACACTAGAACTGGACTTCAGCACGGTTTGAGTTTCATTTCATTTCTTATCCGGTTTAAACAAATGAAATGAAAAGCATTCTTGTAATACGAGCTCTCGTCTAAAAAGCTACATATCAAGCTCCTGGTCCAACGTGTGCCAAAGAAAAAGAAAGGAGGCGGCCAGTCGTGGAGCAAAACCTCTTAAAGCCTCAGAGTCGAATGGCAACAGAAGTTGAACAAACACACGGATTAACATCTGAAAGAAAGGTGAGTTTAAGAGTCACTTCGGAGCTGTGCTGCATTAGTGCCAAAATAAACACCTCACATTAAACAGGGATGTATTGTGGTGTTACACAGAATAAGACCGTAGCCTGGAAAAAGAAAATGGCACTTTCATCTCCACAGCAGCATAAAACGTCTCGTTTACGAGAGCTAAAGAAACACAGGAAGTGTAGCTAAACTTTAGCTTGTTCTTTGTGTCAACCACAGCACGGTGAACCAGGAATGACGCGTTTTACAAACTGGGAACATCTCAGGATTTAGTTTTAGATCTCGTGATACTGCAGGTCGCCACGCTCAGAACATTTGTTGTGAATGACGCCATCAGCATTTTGTCTTTTTCTAAATTTGTGTATTCTGCTTCTTTTTTTGATTATTTCACGTGTTTTTGTTTTCTGAAGAATTATAAGATGCTACTGGATGCCTCCAATGTCCCCCTGACATTAATAAAGTAAATACGTATGTGCATGTAGTGGACGAGGCCTCCGACCAAAACTTCAGTCTTCAGAGGCAGGTTTTGGTCGGAGGCCTCGTCCACTACATACATATACATGCATGTAATTATGCATGTAAATATGTAAGCATGTACTGTATGTATGTAAGCATGTACTGTATGTATGTATCTATCCACCCATCCATCCATGTATCACCATTTTTGTTGTTGTTGTTTTAACTGTGGGAGCCGTATTGAAATGGCCTGACACCAAAAGTGAATCAGTTATAATGAACATAAGTGATTTCTTTCAAGGAGCTTCATAAAAATTGTTTAGTGCGTTCTGAAGCCATGTTTGCATGTGCACAATTCTTTGACTGGATTGAAATGTTTTCAGATTAAATAATTCAGATGAATTGTTTACATGGATACAATCTGTTCATGACGAGTGTTTACCTGCAGTGAGCTTTGTTGTGAACAGCAGTACTGACGTGCACAGAGTGGTAAACTCTCCTTAAACCACAGAAGAAGAAGTTCTACTTCCTGGATGAACGTAAACAAAGCTGAGCACCACAATGGACCCTGGACAGGTTTTCATGTCGGTGGAGAGGCTGCTGCGCTCCCTGACTGAGCTGCAGGTGATGCACATCATCCTGAGCTCGTTCTGTTTCTAGAAGAAATGTTGTCGCTCACAGACCAGTTTTACTTCC